CACTCTCCTCAGCCTCCCAAAGGCGTGGGATTACAGGCTGAGCCACCGAGCCCGGCTATGGTCACGTTCTTAAGTGAGGATCCATCGACATGGAAAAATGATGCCGGGGGGGAGGGGAAGAGAATTTCCCTGATGTCACGTTGTACACCTCATGTGCTACCTTAGCCTTCAAAACAGCACCGCTCTGTGAGGTAAATAACGGCATCTCCATTTTACAGATGTCAAAACTGAGGCTTAGAAAACTTACATGATGGGTCCAAGGTAGAATGAAAGCTGAATCCAGATCTTTCTGACTCCATGCACTGGATTCTCTCCCTCCAACATAGCAAGGATAATGATTGCCTGCCACGGTCTAGGATTCTGTAGGGAAGAAAGATGGCAGGATAGCTTGAACTACGCAGCTAGTGCAGAGAGAGCTTTGCCCAGATCTTCCGTGGTCTCTCTACCTCCTGCTCCATCAAAGGACATTTCCATTTTCTTTCCATGCATCCGCCCAAATACTGAGGAGAATCTGGGATGGAGCCTAATGTTGAAAAAGCAAAGAGGAGGAGGGGGTAAGATAGGCCTGCAGAAGCTTAGCCCATTGGTAATGATGATACATCATGCTTCTCCTCATGTTCTTGACTGCTGAGATCGAGACGCTCACGACTTTGGATTGAGCATTGTAAGAGTTTGATGCCATGTTCCATGTTGTTTTTCTTTTTCTTTTTAGACCCTCAACTTGACCTGTGTGTAAATACCCCCTTAGAAGGTGAGTCAGAACCAGTGACACTGGGGCTCAGAGGTAAAAGCCCGTTGTTGAGGACTGGGTGAGAAACGGCTTAAAACAAACAAAAATTACCAGAAGTGGGGGAAAAAAGAAACCACAGTTCATCTCTAAGATGCAAATGTGTCCTGAAGCTGTAACAACAATATTTCTAGGGCACTTTACAGTTGACAAAGGACTTCTGCTTGTACTATTCCCTCTCAGTCTTCTCAGCAGTCCTGTGTTAGGTGGGCATGGTTGTCCAATGTTGCAAAGATGGGAAAATGAGATTCAGGGACTGTGCAACTTCCCTTGAGGCCACACAGAGGGGGGAGGAGCCTGTTAATGGCATTTCTGGAGCCAAGTAGAGGCCTCACAAGAGAAGGAGATTTATAGATGCTGCTTAATGGAAGACAAGGAGGAAGATAAACATCCACCCTTTAACTTCTGGGCAGCTGGAACTTGATAACAGGGGAGCTGGCTTGTCTTTAGAGTAAGAGACCCCGCTAGGGGGTGAGTTCTTCCGTCTGTGTCTCCAAGTGGGCAGAGAGGGTCTGTACCTGTCCCTGAATACCTACTCCTGGAAATTGGGTGGGGTGGTAGCTGGCATGTGTGGTCTCTGGTCCAGCAGCGCCAGCCTCACCTGGGAATTTGCTGGGAATGGAAATTCTTCAGCTCCTTCCTAGACCTTCGCTCCGATTATAGGGCTGGCATTCTGTGTTTTTGTAGACTTAGTTCACGTTAGTTTTGAAAACTGCTGTGATGGAGGACCCTGAGGTGAAAATCAAGTACTCACCTGGGTCTAGAGTTTCCTATGAGGCAGGATTTCTGGGGAAGGTCAGGAGCTTTGGAGGGCCACAGCACAGAAGCTCATGTAATCTCTGTCCCCTGTTGATCATGGGGTCACAGGTGCCCTGTCCCACCACCTCCATCAAGGCCGCTGGAGCACAGAGTTGAAGCATCGCTTCCCTGCTCACCTGCAGCACTGCCCTTCATGAATGACAGGACCCAAGTTCTGGGATGCTCTGAACCTCGCTCTCTCTGCTCTCATGCCTACGAAGCCTTCTCTGAATCGTGTCCTCGTTCCTAATCTTAAAAACTGGCTTTTCATCAGCCGTGTATTCTAGTCTGACCATTTATAGTCAGAAAGAACCCCAACTGTTTCAAGAGTAGTTGAAATTTCCAAGATCTGCAGTCAGATCAACAGGATGCTTGGAAGGTGGTCCAGATGCCGACAGGGTGGCCGACGGTGAGGGGGATATCTCCAGCCGGGTAGAGATGTGTCCCGACCCGCCTGGCTGCCTTAAGAGTCCCGAGAGAGAGCGGAGAGATTAAGAAAGACACAGACATAAAGACATGAAGAAAAGCTGGGGCCAGGTGGAACACTTTTCTCTGAGAGAGGAGAAGTGGCCCCGAAGTAGCTCAGCATGTTTATTTTATAATCAAGCACAAAGGGAGTTGGAAGTGATTCAAGGTCTGTGAGGGAGCTATAATGGAATTTTGTTGCTATCTAAATGGCAAGCTGTTTTGCGGTTATCTTGTTGGTGCTGAGGCTTTTTCTGTACCCGGATGTGTGGGCTCTGAGATGCCATTCCGTGTAGCAGGCTGCATCCCTTGCTCTTTGGCCTGCTGTCCAGATAGTGCTCATCACGCCCCATAGAGCTGGAGAGGGTTAAGCACAAAGTCTCTCTCTCACACACGCACAGATAGAGGACAATAATTAAGATGATGGGGACAGAGATCGTGACGTTGATAGAAGGCACCGTAGCGGCCTTTGGCTACCGGGCTGGTGTGATGGAGCACAGTCTGGAAGGTGAGGGCTTGCAGTGGCCTTGGGCGAGCCCGCGTCACCAGGGAGGGGCTCTGTCCTGCTCCTGCACTCACAGCACAGCTGGAACCACCCTGTGTGGCCTGTTCTTCCCGCTCCTGACTTAGAGTATGCTCATGTCAACGCAGCGGGTCCTTAGTCGCCCTCTGGGGAGGATTTCACTGGTACCGTTTAGCTGAGGAGAGATTTAGGCACCTAAATGATAGGTGACTTGGCTGAGGTCACTTAGGAAAGAGCTGGCAAGGCAGATCTTCCATTGCCAACGATCGAAGTTTGAATGTGGAGACCTGATCTACAACACTGAAAAAATGTGTGTGTGTGTTTGTGTGGGTGGGTGGGGGGGAGTGAGCCACATGATCTTCTAATCCAAAAGATGTATGGTTCTAATCTTCAATTCCTATTTGCAGTTCAGTAAGCATGACTCAGCTTTATAATGTTGGAGTAGGAATAAGTAAAATATGAATGTCATTCCCCTTAGAATCAGGAACAAGGCAACAAGGATGTCCACTTCCATCAAAGATATTTGGCATTATTTTGGAAGTGAATGCAGTAAGATGAGAAAAGAGTTGTGGCTTTTTTTAATGTTGAGTTGGGAAGACAGATTAATTTGTCGTTGTTAGAAAATACTGTAAGCCTAGAATATCTGAGACAATGCTAAAACAGAAGTTGTTAGAGTTCTTTCCTTTGAACTTCTGTTCAACAGAAATACTTAAGCAAATGCACACACCTGTGTACAAAGAAGAACAGAAATGAGTGTTTTTTTTTTTTTTTTTAGTTGAAATTTCACTCCATCACCCAGGTGCAGTGGCATGCTCATGGCTACCCCAGCATCTACCTGCTGGGCTCAGGTGATCCTTCTACCTCAACCTGAGGTCTCGCCAAGTTGCCCAGGTTGTTCTCTTACCCATGGACTCAGGCAATCCCCTCACCTCGGCCTCCCAAAGTCTGGGATCACAGACTTGAGCCCCTGCGCCCGGCTGAAATGAATGGTTTTTGAGAGGGGAAAATGGGTCACAACATAAATACCCACCAGTATGGGGATTACGAAATATGATGCATCCATAAGACAGGCTTTAGTTTAGATTCAACCAATAACAGAATGAGATAGCCACACCTAGGTCTACTAAATCCAACAGGCATCCACAATGTATTACTGAGGAGGAATAAAGCAATTCAAAGAAAAAGAATGCACAGCAGGATTCTACTGAAATAGTGCAGGGAGTGTGCAAATGTACATGCGTGTTATGCGTGTGGACATATCTGGAAGCGATAGTGTAGTCTGTTGGGAGGGATCTCGGTTGGCGTAAGGTGAGGGGTTCAGGACTTCCCCCTCTGCAGAGAAACTAACAGGCAGGGACCAGCTGAGCTCTAGAATACATCTTCAGAGGGCCCTGGATGCTTTCAAACTGTATCTTGACACTTCTTCCACTAATATCTCTACATGTATATATTATAGATACATAGTTTATATGTACATATTATATCTATGTACAGGTGTTTTTTCTGAAACCGATACTCTCTGCCAGCAGAATCCTCTCTGAGACAGTCTTGCTGTTTGTACTACAGGATAGGCAGAGTGTATCAGCGAGGGGTCAGGGAAGAAATGAAGTGCTATTTTAGGCAGGAAGGGATTTACTACAGGGAATTAAACATTAACCAAAAGTTCCCAGCATGACTCCCACCCAGGACACAACAGAACTGACTCCTCAGGACAGCTGCTGCCTCCAAGACCTCCACGAGCACAGTGATTTCCGGACACTCCCATAGCTGTGACCAGGAGGGTAGGAAGTCAGGAGTGATGTCATAGCCTCTAACCTGCTAGGATGGAGAAGGGATACTGGAGAATGGGACAGAAAACCCTAACATTGCCAGAACTTTGTTTCCTAGCAGAAAAAGAGGTGAAGGGGAATTCTGAGGACCCCTGTGTCACCTCCTCCCAAATCTCACACTTCCAGATTTATACGAAGGACATTGCTGCAGGGAGACACTGGAAGGGTAGTTTCCACAGCTCCAGC